CCCCCCCCAAAAAAAAAAAATCCCCATTGTTGGCTCAAGAGCTGTCCTTTCCTTTCACATGAGGTAGTCAACTGTTCGATGCTGTTACTTGCTCGAAGCTGACACGAACTGCACTTTCATTTTACCTCATTCGGTTTATATTATCGGCACCATCTATGTTCTTCAACCCATAGTCAAAAACATGAAATAAAGTCTCTGTATATTTCAAAGTCAATTCGATTTGAACATTTCTCATATATGCATCTGAACAGAAAGAATAATGCCCTTCACAGAAAGAAAACAGAAGAACAATGGCAATAACAACAAAAAAAACTTGAAGTAGAAAAGAAGATCCGATTCAATAAAAAGCAAGAGAAAACCCAGGAAATGTAAAATCAAGAACAGAAACACCTGATCATCAGACGTTTCATCGAATTCAAACAAAGGAAAACCATATTGATACACGGTTACGACACAGACACAGAGAAACAGAGACATGCATGCATACACATATAGCGTATTCATATATACAGAAATCAAAGGGCAGACAGAGAATATGGATTATTCAATTACATCCGATGATGTTGCCGAGATGAGGGAAATTGTTCACGTAAGGCAAAGCGCTTGTTATAAGTATGTTTCTTTTGCCCGGGATAGGCAACTTGGGCCCGCTCTTTTCTTCCGCCATGGACGGATAAATAGAACACAAGCAACACTAAAAGCTTTCCTCAATTAGAGAGAGAGAGAGAGAGAGAGAGAGAGAGAGAGAGAGAGAGAGAGATGAATCAGCGAGGGGTTTGGTAAAGTGGGAGAAAAAATAACAAAATGATATATTGCGGCGGCTAATCTATGATCTCAGCAGATCCGGCTTAGTTCAAACCGGATATAACCGGTTGGCGCCGGTTAAGAAACATTTCTAATTTGGGTCTGATTTTGTAATAAAAGATAATATAAGGGGTGAATGTGAAAGTAAAGTCTAAATTTTGGGGTTTCTTTTTATGTTCTCCTCCTCGCCTTTCCCATTTGAAATCAAATCGTCATCTTCCAAAGTTCACAGTTTCCAGTTTCTCACTTCGATACAGTAGCGCGAAAACCCATACCTAGCAGAAGCTGCTACCATGGAAGGTTCCCTCGACGCTTCTCTGGAGCTTCACGAGATTCGAAGGTTCTATCTTTGTTTCGCATTGTCTTCCGTTTGTGCAATCCTCGAATTTCGCTTTGGTTGTTGATTTATTTGTCCCAATTCGCAGCCGCGTGAAAGAGCTGGAGGTTCTCCACAGAGTTTGCGAGGACGAGCCAGAAGAATCTTCTCTGTCGAATTCCAACATCATGGTCCAAGATTTTGCTTTTCAGCTCGAGGTAATCGCGTGTCTGAGGACTGTCTTTCAGTTTTTCTTCTGTAGATTGATTTAGCTTTGGTTTTTGTGCTTAGAATTCAACATGCATATGAGCTCGATGGACATCCGTGTTATCTCATATCTGGAAATCTAATTTCTGTGTTCTAATTTGTGCAGACGAAAGTGAAGCAGATTGTTGACGAGTACTCTGATGTTGATTTATTGGGTATCGAAGATTCAGGTTTTTTTTACTTCACTCTATCTCTAGTCTCTTCTTGTTTTCTAGGGTCTGAACAAATGTTCTTATGGTTTACTTTCTTGGTAACATTGCAAAGGATTTTAAGCTCGGTCATCCTTGAAATAAATGCATACCTTTTGAAAAAAACGTTTGAATATGATGACCCTTTGTCATATGATGCAAAAAGAGAATTAACTGATGCAGAAGAGATAAATGCCACAGATGATTACTTGGAGTATTTGAGAAAAGAGCTTCACTCCGTGGAGGCTGAAAGTGCCAAGGTTTCAGAAGAAATTGAGCGTCTTTCAAGGACTCATGTCGAAGGTGAAATTCTTTTGTTCTTATTTTGATTTAGTGCATAAGTGTGGCTTCCGAGGTCACATTCTCATCACTGTATGAGTTTTGTTCTTGAATTGTCCAGACTCTAATGTACTGGAAAGAGATCTTGAAGGTCTTTTGTTGTCACTGGATTCCATATCATATCAGGTTACTTTCCCTTGCTCTTTCCATGATAGGTTAACAGACTTTCTCCAGGTTGCATCCATGATGTCCTAATGACTAATCTGCAGTGATAAGAGATTTTATTATCATTTTATGTATCTCATGCAGGATCTGGAGAAAGTCAAAGAGAATCCACCAGCCAGTTGTTCGACCAACAAAAGGGATATATCGAATTCAATTGATGAAAATTTTAAGGTGTGCAGTTTTCAGCTAATCTGTTTGATATTTATGTTTCTTGGGATGTACAATATGTGCATATGATGTTCGATACATTTATACTCTATGGTTCCTTTTTTTCTTGAAAAGTGTGATTTTCCTTTCCTTGAAAAGAATAAGTATCTGTCAAGAAGATATCTCCCAAAGTTTCAGATGCTCTTCAATCCTTCCTTTTGGTTCCATACAACAAATACATAAACAACTAGAAAGGGACTTCATAAGACATTTCATCTTCAACCTTTCAATCCCCTTGTGTTCCAAATGTTACATGACTTGAGGTGAGAATATCGAATGTTTCTACAGAGTGTTGTTTGTCTTTGGCCAAGCAAGCTAATCAAAAAGATTTCTTTTTTCCTTTGCATCTCTGTTTCTCAAGAAAAATACTCTATTCTAGATTTCCAGAAGCTTGATTTTACGCTGACCAAGATATCTTTGGCGACCTAAAACTTCCAGAAACTTTTCAATGGTTACATTTCACTATATGGGTACCATTTGTCCCAATATTGTCCTATGATGTGTCCGAGAACTTGTGTTTTCTTTTTTCTTTTCTGTTTAATTTGAATATAGAAAGATCAGAAATCTGTTGCATATTCTGTTTGGTTTCTATGGACCCTCTTTATCCTTTTTTTTTTTCCAGAGTTTGGATCTTGAAGACCAGATTCAGGAGAAGAGAATGATTCTCAAGTCCTTGGAGGATCTGGATTTAGTGAGTAAAAGGTAATTTCAACTTGGTTTTGGTCTGATACCCGTAACTGTGTCTTTACTTGTGTTCCTCTACCTCCAGGTTTGATGCTGTAGAACAGGTTGAGGATGCATTGACTGGTTTGAAGGTCCTTGAGTTTGATGGGAACTCCATTAGGCTCCAGTTGCAGACATACATTCCAAAATTAGATGGCTTGTTTGGCCAACACAAAATCGATGACACCACCGAGCCATCTGAATCGATCCATGAATTGCTTATCGAAATTAAGGATGAAACTCTGGAGATAAAAAAAGTTGAGGTATGTAGATGTCTTCTGTATGTTTTTTTTAAGTAGGTTTAATGTGGACTTATTCATGTTTTTTATTTGCTTGGATATTGAAAAATGTATCTGTTTACTCTGTCTGAAGCCCTTGTTTGAATAACATCCAAATCCATATTTTATTTTTTTCCTCAGATGTTTCCAAATGATGTATACATAGGGGACATCATTGAGGCCACTCATTCTTTCAGGTTTGTGCTCTAATTTTTTGTGCTTCTTTGGAATCACTCTAAAGTATATGTGCACCTTTGCTTTCTATTTGTTGTTTTAATTTTTCAAAAGTATCTCTTCAGCTTCTGACTTAAGCATTCCCAATGATATATATCTTCAAAGCCGGAAAAAAAATCATACAGTCCCATGCTGGGAAACTGCTATTACTACACATAACTTTCACGTCTTATCGATCAAAGTTACTTGTTTAAGGATAGACTGTTGTAGAGAACCTTTTCATTTGGCTTTTTCCTGCCGTGGCATGCAGCCTCACTGTCGTCTAAGTCGGGCAACTGGTTGTCATTTGGATTGATGAATCTTTAGGTTCTATACCTCATTTCCTGTATCAAAGTTTTGCTTATTCTGTGTTTACTCTGACAATCATCCTGATATGGTTACTAAGATTAGGCCATGGGATATATGTTTTTACCAAGCTCTTAATTTCATTTTGCTATTAGCTGAATAAATCTCTAAGGAGACATATGTTTTTGGATTGGAAAGGTGATTTTATCAAAATGTCATGCGGTGTAACATACCATAAAACTGCAGGCAGGTATCTCTACACCCTGCAGTGCTACAAACACGATCTCCATTGCAGTGGTTTGTTGGCAAAGTGCAAGAGAGGATAATATTGAGCACTCTAAGAAAATATATGGTGAAAAGTTCGAATAAATCCAGGTCAGCCTTACATTTCCAGCAAATTATTCCCTAGTTTATGATGGTTCAGTGTCATAATCCCGAGACACTCGATCCAATGCCTAGCAAATATATACATATATACATCTATATATATATACACAAATAAAACTTTTTGTCATTTAGCTGTTTGAGCTAGCCGGTGCACTGCATATCTGTAATTTTATCACAGGCACACATTTGAATACTATGACAAGGAAGAAACAATTGTGGCTCATATGGTTGGAGGCGTTGATGCATTCTTAAAGGTCTCTACTAGTTGGCCTCTACTGAATACTCCATTGAAACTGGTATCTATCAAGAACTCTTTCTCTGGCTCAGAGAGGATCTCCTCAAACATTATCTGCAAGATTGAGGTGAGGTTATACTCTCTGCATTTCCATACCGTCTTCAAAAGTTTAGAACAGAGGTATTTGCTGTCAAGAAAATCAGTTATTCTATGTGGGAAAAAGAAAGTAAGAAACCAATAGCAGGGGGGTTTCAATGGATGAGATGTTACTGTATCATATGCTTAATCAGCACAATTGCGGAATGCGAACATTATAGTCGATGAGAACGAAATTGAAACAGAATAGTTTTTTTTTTCTTTTTTTGCAGCATCTCTAATGTTAACTGAGCCTGCCTTCACTTATATCATGATCTGTTTATTTGTTAGGAAATGGCGAATTCCTTGGACCCACAGACTCAGGAAAGCTTGACAAGTTTCGTGGAAGCGATTGAGAAAATACTTGTGGAGCAAACACAGTAAGAGCTAAGAACTCGGTCTCAATGACTGCCTTCGTCGATGCCATAAATATATATGCCTCCTGTGGATTTTGCCTGGTTTAGTTTCCTGTTTTTGGTTCATTAGCCAACAAAAGAAAAAAGATCATCCAGAAACTAAGTGTAAGATTAGAGGAATAAGAACAGGAAAACATCCATGTTTTCCCCTTGCGTTTAGAATGCTCTTTGTGGTCCCAAAGTATGAAGTACTGTTTTTGTAAGCCTGTCCTTGGAACGACCGGATATGTTCGCTCATAATCTCATCAAGCAAACATTTGTATCTTCTGTGTCCTTTATCATACATACATACATACATACACACACACACGCTCGCAGATTGAAGAGGAAAGAGAGTAAAAAAGATATTATGTAATGCCATTCTCTCACGTTCCAATGCCTATACATGGATGGACATCCACACCGAAGAGAGTGTCTGCATTCGAGATATATGAAATGCTCTTAATATTTTACATTATCATGGATTCTTGTACCATAAGTAAACAGAGCTTTCATCACAGGGTATGTGCTTGAACCACCAATCGGATGATCAAACCCAAAAATCTTCTTCATTATTTGCTTAGCAAAGCCTGAAACCAGGGCCGGTTCAAGTATGAAACCTGTGCAAGATTTCTCCTCTTCAGATTCTCTCATCGGCATCCACTGTCAAGTGTCAAGAACCCTTGCCGTGTCAGAAGAAAGTCCTTTTACCAGACTGTCCGATGATTTGCTGGGTGCCGAGAAAACCTCTAAAAACCGCCATTTTATAGAATCTTGAATCTTGCTTGAGTATTAGTTTTCTGAATCAAAATGGATGTGGATGTTTGTGTGTAGATACGGAGATGTGTCAGAAGAAGTTTTGCTGATAACTTCCTTATTTGGATGGGTGACCTACAGAAGCACGTGGTTTTGGCTCTCAGATTACTAAAACCAGGACTTTTAGAGTGTACACTCTTAATGTTGGGTTGTTGAGAAGTAATGTACATACATGTCCTACATGACACAAAACCAGACCAATTATCCACATGGTTCTGTCTTCATAACCTGATAAGATTGTCTAAAGAACCGAAAGCCCAATGAACATTATATAATATATCGCAGAAACTCAAAACAGTATGCCAACTTGATGGGCACTCCTTCACAAGACTTTTTGCTAAATCTCATCTCTTTGAACAAGTTTTTGATGGACCCAGAAGCTGTCTCTAAGAAGAGAACAAGAAGTAACGAGAGCTGAAGAACAGGACCACATGACAAGGCTATATAAGATAGAAGAAGCTTGGATCTTTCTGTGGCTGAAGTCAATGCTGGTATCACACAATCCACCTACCTATCATGACCATGTGTACTTGTCTACAAAAAATATATTAAGCTTCTTCATCACATCAATGTGCAAATTGTTCTGCAATGCATCAACAATGTTCTTGATGAGAAGACAAAAGACAAAAACCAGTCAAAGGGCATAGTTTAAACATCATTATATCTATAAATTCTCCTTACCCCCATCCTCAACCTTCAACAAATTCTCACAGTTTCTCAGCACTACAAGAAAAACAGATCATCATCATCATCATCTATAGCAAAAACAGAGCATCAGAATCCATGGCTATCAGGCAAATCATCAGGCAAGCAAAGCTGTTCTCTGCGTCAAACTCTGCTGCTGTCCCAAAGGGACACCTTGCTGTTTACGTTGGCGAAACCCAGAGGAAGAGATTCGTGGTTCCGATATCATTCTTGAGTCAGCCTCTGTTTCAAGATTTGCTAAAGAAATCCGAAGAAGAGTTCGGGTTCGATCATCCTATGGGAGGGCTCACCATTCCTTGCAGCGAAGAAACCTTTGTCGATCTCACATCTCGACTAAACAGTTCATAACACATACACAGGAGAATATACATTTCATCTTCCATCCCAATCTTGTACATTTTCTGTCTGTTTTCTTCAAGAGAAGAGTGTAAAAAAAGGATCTTTCATTGATGAAAATCACAGAGGATGTGTTTACAGGAACAAAAACCAGAAAAGGAATGAAAAAATCGGCCAAAATCTCCAAATACAACACACCCCTTCACCCAGAAAGAGCCCTTAAAACCAATCCTTTGAAGACTTCTTTGGTGTCTCAACGTTACCTGTACATGACAGAATCTGTACCGTTGGATCTTTCAAACAGAAGAAGCAGAGCCGTTGATGAAATCCGAGACAAAAGGAACTAGCAATCTGAGTTGGAGCTGTGACTGGAACCGCTGTTGTTGGTGAAGACAGGAGTCTCTCTTGGCGTGTGGAAAACCCCGCGACCGCTGCCGCTATTTCCCATGTCTTTGGTTTTGTGGAGAAGGAACGTTCCCGATAGAATGGTCACAAAGCCACAAAGCTCTGTCGCTATCTGTAAACCGCTCTGAGAAGCCCAGTCCTGTTATAATACATGTATATATACACATACATACCCAATGAATGCAGAGACATGTTTGTTACTTTCATCAAGATCACAAGTTCTTGAAAGATATAGACTTTTTTCTTATACACACAAACGCATGTATGTATGTATGTATGTATGTATATACATACATATGTATGTACGTATGTATGCTTGTATCAAGAAATGAAGGTCAGGAGAAAGAACATCAAGATTCTTGAATAGTTACATTCTTTCTTTGCCCCAGTTGCGGAAAAATGCAAGAATATTTTCATATTCCACCATTAACAAGGTTTTACTTCAGAGTGAAGAGAAGGAAGGGAAGTTTACCTTGAACATGATCATGCTAGCTAAGATGGTGAAGGTTGTAAACATTACGTAATAAACAGGAGAAATCACTGCTGTGTTAAAAGTATCCAGTGCCTGTTGCAGAGAAAAACAAAACAGAGATTCTTCATCACATATATCCCATCATAAAGCAACCAACCAAAAGGTAAAAACAGTGACAAGAAACACAAAACCAGAGAAGAAACAGGTTTTAAAGGTTTCAAAAGCTTCAGCAGGGAAACAATGGCGAGAGCCTCGGGTCTCTAACCAGAGGAAGCAATGTGTCATATGATTGGAAATGTCCAATTCCTCACCTTGTCTCTTAGAACAGAGTTTAAAATCTCATCATCTTACTTCAATGATGTAAACTACTGACTACAAGTCTCGTTACCTTGTTCAAGTAGTTGATTTGCAAAATGCAACATATGGCTACCACGATAATAAAAATCCATGCGTGGAAGTATTTGAACTGATTCATCCCGGAAAATGTCAGCTTAATGGCAATTGCCACAGCTTTCACACTCATAACCTACACAAAACCAAAACATAAACAAGAACTCCTCCTTAAATCAACGAAAAGCCAAGCCAATAAAAACAAACAAGTAGAGAGAGCTCGGGAAATGATGTGAACGTACAGTGAGTGAACCCATCAAAGAGCAGATCCCAACATATACAATCAAATGTGTCCTCCCATAACGTGGCTCGTAGTAGAAGATTAGTATGAGCACCACGAACAAAACCACAGCAGAATACACAAGGAATCCTGATCAACCAGAAACACAAGAAACATTTCAGAATGTGTGGTCCATTGCAGAAGATTAGTATGAGAACCACGAACAAGATCATGGCAGAATACACGAGGAAACATGATCAAGCAGAAACACAATCAGAAACAGACTTATGGTTCAGTCCATCAAATCTAGACACCAAAACTAGATTGAAGTAGTAAACACACTGAAACTTTAGTTTTTTTTTTTTTGGGTAACTGGGTTTCCTGGGCCGAGGCCCAGACTAATCCCGGGGCTGGGAACCAACCATGTGATTTGAATTATGCGCTCCTTTCCCAACCTGGGGTTCGAACTCGGGGCGGGACAGACGCTTCCATTTCACCAGTTGAACTACCCAAGTTGGGTCACTGAAACTTTAGTTATATTGCTTTCTAGTATGAATCATTTTTTTTTTCATGTTTATCTTTCCATTGAAGCTTTCTAGTCCATCTTCATGGAAATTTATATTTTGGGTATTTTCAAATGCATACGCTTTCATCCTGTGTAAAAACTTGAACTTTTTAACAAAATTTACATTTTCACCAAAAAAAAGAACTTTAGTTATATTTGCTGGAAGTACCTGGTTCAGTGGCAAGATGCCATATTTCCTTAACTGAATCGATATTTTGCTCGTGGGGAGCATGCAAAACAACAGTTGTAGACCCGACAACGCATAAGACACAGCCTAGTACTCCAAAAATATGTAATTTCTCCTGCAAAATGAAATGTGCTAGCACTGCGCTGCATAACACGGTTTCTGTTTTCAGAGACTTATCATCTTTATGCAATGAAAATGGACATGTTGGACAGTTGATATACCTGAAAATAATACTTAGAGCTCCCAAAGGTGTTACTAGAATAGCCGGTGCAAATGCATAGGCTGCAAAATTGGCGATTTCCCCGAAAATCACTGCAAATGAGATTGAAAGAAAAATGGTGATACACTCTCTTCAAGTTATCAGATCTTTATATCCCAAACATAACCCACATTTTTTCAGTTTCCTTTCCACAATTTTGGTTCGACGAACCTTTTGACGTGATGAAAAAGGTGAAATAGCAAACAGATTTCATATTACTCAGCTGCAATCATGTGATTCTGGTAGAAAATGGCCTGTCTTAAAGAGGAAAATATCGATCTGTATATCAAATAACCGAAAAGTCCAAACTTACTTGTTATCATCCCAGCCCACCACCAAGGCTGATACAAATATCCATACCCTCCTTCACCTGATCACAAGCCAAGAATAGTTAAAAAAAGTATCGATATTGATAAATAACGATATCTTCAAATGAAGACGGGTATTGTGTAGAAGATTAGCTCGAGAACAGAGGAATCTGAAAACCTGCTCGAACTCCGCTTACACCAGCTTTCTTGAGACCCTTTTTCTTGACGATGAAGCTAGAACCGATGAAGATGCTCGAAGACACAGCTAAAATGACTCCATGTATATTATCGGATGAAATCTGTTCCATCTTTAGTTATATATATATATATTTGTATTATATATAACAAAGATGAATCAAGCAAGAAGATGAAACCCTGGAAATTCAATCTCTCCCTGCATCCAAATCAATTATATGATTACTATCAAATCTATTCTCGGACATATATTTAAAACTGAAACCAAAAGTATCGAAATCACAAGATCGGCCCAAAACGAATCCAATAATTAACTGACCACAAGATCAAACAAATGCAATAAAGCAGAGAACCCCGAAACAAACTGATTGTGCCATGTTCATCAAAATGACAACTTTGAAGGCAAAAGAACATAAAAACCCCAACTTTATACGTGATCAAATCGATACATCAAAGGAAGAATTTATGAACATGGAACTCTAAATAGACCTTCCTGTTGTTTTGATGAGATGGGTTCCTCCGATTTTGCCCAGAAAAGGTATTGAAATCTCAAACCATCTTTTATACGTTACCTTTTCCCATGTTCCCCAGTTACTCCTCAATAAATAAAACACCTCACGTCACGTGAACGAGAATACTTAATAAAGAAGTCAAGGACGCGAGGAAGAGACTAAATTAATGGTTTCGTAATTCTCTAATTGTTGAAAAAACTGAAGATTTCAGATTAAAATTTGCCATTTCGAGCACGAACGCGCAATCCATTAGAATATTCGAACAAAAACAAATTCGGGATTCGGATCCTACCTTTTTCGCTGCCGTTTGCTGTCCACGCAATCCCCAGGAAGAAGATTGAAGATTTGTGACTATGACTCTCAAGACGTCATGAACGACAGTGACATTTCGCCCTTTTGTTTCTCCGTGGAAACAGTCTCAGGAAATTAGGGTTTTTTTTTTTTGTGCTGAATTGGAATCGAATTGAATCTTGGAGAAAAGGAGAGCAAGAGAAGAGAACAGAGAAAATAAAAGGAAACTAAAAAAATACAGTGTGGCAACATTCCCCGAATCCTGCGGATTTGACATGCATTCATTACACATTCTTGTTTTTTTACACGCGAGCATTACAAATTTATCCTTTTTTTAAATTGAAAAATTACATATATATATTTTTTTTGGTAAAGAAAAATTACATATTTGTTATTTTATTTAGGGAAAATTTCTTGCCAATTATCATACACTCATATAAATATATATATACATATGTATACATATATACACAAACAAACGCATACGTATACATACTTATATACATTAATTATTATACATATGCATATCTATGCAATGTATGCATGCTTATATACAAATACAAAATATACATATATATATACATATGTATAGACATGTATTTATGTGTCTATATATATATGTATATGTGTTAGAAACGGCATAGAATGGGGTCACAAACCCCCTCCTCTTAATTAAAAAAATAACAATTTTCATCATAAAATTTATACAATTTCATATAAAATGATTAATTATGGCACCATTTTTCAAGTTTGGGATTTATATTTTCATGTTTCTCATGTTCGAAAACTATTATTCCAACCCACTAGTTTATGAATTTATTTTCCACCAATTCTGCTGGGAAATTTTGAGTTTATCTCAATTTTTAAACGGATATATTACTTTAGTCAATTCCTTATAAATTGATTTTACTTAATACCATTTGATTAGTTCATCAAATTATCCATGGTTATTTTGCCGGACCGATTTTTTTTCTATATAGTTTGGATATTTACCGATAAATTCAATCTGTATAACAAATTCAAAAGGCTTTTTATTATTACAATTTACATCTTAATAAAAAAATTCTAATACAATTACATTTTCCCTCCAAATCTACTATTTTTTTTTGTCGTACATAAAACAGAAAAAATAAAATAAAATCATATGTATCTGTGTATATATATTATATATTACATCTAGACTGTATGATAAATTATAAAGAAAATTTCGTAAAAATACTCAATTTTATAAAATATATTAAATAAATACCTAAATTTTTTATCTAATTAATATATTAAATATTAAAATATTTTAAATTGATATCCAAATATTGAAATATTCAAATAGATATCTTAACTAATGAAATCGATAGTAATTCATAATTTTAATTCTAATTACGATATATAAATTAAATATTATTTTTTAACATAAAAATAAAATTCACAAAATCCATAAAAATTCACGATCTCAACGATGATGTATAAATTAAATATTAATTATAATATAAAAAATTAAATCGATATTATAAACTACTTTACTTTCGATTTGATGAGTTGGAATACTCGTATAAAATATTTTAATATTTGATATATTAATTTAGAATATTTAAAATATTAATTAGATAAAATTAAAAGTTTAGATATTTATTTTTTTAAATATATTTTGTAAAATTGAGGTAGGTAAATGAAATTCACTTAATTATACATAAGTTGTATCCCGTTGTACGCCAACTTTTTATTTAAATTCAAGTACTCGAAAAAAAAAATCGCTGACGTGGCTCATTCGCGGCTGTTTTCCGGCGGGAACATGCCGCATTTATTTAATTCCGATTTTACCCTCTCGACCTCTTCCTCCGGCAACGTCACCGTCACTACCCTCCCCTCCGCCGTAGCCGCCGGCAACACCACCACCGCTCCGGCGTCTCCTACCCCCTGAATCCCGCAATACACCGATTTCGGCGGATTCCCCATCAACCTCACCCCGTGGAAATCGACTTCGCTCAGATCCACAAACGTCAATCTCGCTCCGTACACAACGAAATCCAAAACCCCATCGTCACTTTCAACGATTTCATCGATCTCAGACCTTACATCTGTTCCTTCAACGATACGTCTCACTAATTCCTGCAGAGCTGCATCGGCCACCGGAAAATCCACCTGGACCGAGCATATCATCTGATCGTTGCTCACCGACCTAGGTTTCAGCCCCTTCGCATCCTTCCTGACGACCGTGATCGTAGTCACCGGCTCTGATTCTTCCCGAACTTTCGCCACACACTTCAATACGATCCCACACAGAGTCTCGAAAACTGGAATCTGATCGCCGTCGTTAGCTATCGATATTTTCTCCGGAAAAAATGTCGAAATCTGAGAAACGGTTAGGATGAAAGTGAATGACGCCATTTTCTTGTTGTTGGGAGTGACCCAGAGATCTCCAACCGGGTCGACCCGCTTGATGAAAACCGGATCTTTTCGTACCGGTTTCGGATCTGGGCCTGGGCCAGAATTCGGGCTCAGTCTGTTGGAGGGTATTGAGACCTTCTTACCCGCTAAAGCATGGGCCCACTGATTGAACGAATAAGAGAGCGAAAACGGATCTCCGAGGATATGGGCCCAACTCAGGCCCAATGATAGGCCACCGCACTTAAACCGGGTCATCTGCACCGACACGACAGGTTAACCGAAATAAACCGGTGATGTTAGTTATATTTTTAGTTTAATCTCCACCCGGTTTAGTGTCCCCATCGTTTGGTTAGAAACGATAAAAACATTTATATTTTATCAAATGAAAGTAAAATATGATATTTTCTTTCATATCAAACCGTTATGTATAATAATCATTCAACACCTTTAGCTTTGTACGATCAAACCGAACATCCATATATTCTCATCATTTTATGTCCAGGAAAATGGAAGATGAGAAAGATAAATTTTTTTTATCAAATGAAGTCTTCGAAATATTATTATTAAGTATAATTAATTATATTATAATTCGATAGAACTTGGTGGTACAATTGTATAGTACACGCAAATAAAATCTTAGTATCAATTGAACTTCAAATCGTTAGAATAGAATCTGCTTCCGAGCATGACTTATTTTTTTTATATATATAAACATATTTTACCCAAAAAAAAAAAGATGTATGTTTTTTGCATGAACTTTTAAAATACCCACGAGAACTTGTGAGCTGATAAATATCGTATGTTCGGTTAGTTACTTACCTGAACATAGATCAAAGGAGAGAAAGACAACTCTGGTCCAACCGGTTTATGGTATACCAGGAGCTCATCATCGGACCGGTCCGGTTTACGGAGCCACTCCTCCACGGTGAAGTCGCAGTTTCCCTCCACGAACCGAGTGCCACAGTCGTTGCACTTGATGTACGGACGTCCCGATACGTGGCGGCGGAATCTTCCAGTGGTCCAGGAGATCTGTTCGAACAAAACGAACATGCCCTCCTTCACCTTCTTCACGTCGATCTCACTCGCCGTTTCGGCCGAGAAAACGTATGCGACTTTAAGGTAGTGTAGCTTCATGGCGAGGTCTAAACCGGTCGGTTCGTGGGTTGTACCAGGTGCAGTCGGTCGGGGCGAACCCACCGTGGAGAACCGGAAGCCGTGAACAGCACCGGTTCCCTGTTCGTGTGCTCGAGCCATGGTGTTATTCGGAGAGAGAGAGAGAGAGAGAGAGAGAGACGATAAACTTTTGAACTTTGAGAAATGGAAACTGCAACTATATTGCGTATGTGGTCTTGATCTGGTCGTGTATATAAATACATGGAATAGGGCATTTAATGTAATGTTTTATATGAAATATAATACCCCTATTACTTAATCTAACTGGAAATGTCTATATTATAATATGAATCGAGAATCATATATCAGAAGTCGTATAAAATATATTTTTTTGTAAGAATCTCCTAGCCAAAATCAGGACTAAACCGGAAAGCAGATAAAAGTGAATTCCAAGAGAATCTAACGTCACCTCGTCGACTTGAGGGTTGTTTCCTCTTCAAAAGTTGACGAGTCGATAGATATATACTCCAATGTTTGTTTGTTTGTTTGTTATACGGTCAGTGCAAAGATTGGTATTGTTAGTTAGTCGGCGACCATATTAAATACACACATAATGTAACTTTGAATAATATGATTATTTCCATAAATATTTTAAAATCATTTGCTTCAACTAGGAGTGACCATTTCGTATTTCGGCTCGGGTTCGGTTATTTCAATTATATAAAAACTATAACCATTCGATTCGATTATTTTTCGATTCGGTTTCGGTAAAAATTCATTTTTTCAAAGAAATTGGTTTTTTCGGGGATATTCGATTTGGTTCGGTTCGGTTTTTTCGGATTTAAAAAAATCATAATCATTCGATTTTGATATCAGATTCGGTTCGAGTATGGTTATATCTTATTTGGTTTGGTTCGATCGGTTATTCGGTTAAGAACCGAAATGGTCACCCCAACTCCAATTGTCTTTAGCAATTTATACTTTTTTCACGAATAGTAATATATGATGATACTTAGATCTAATGGAACTATATATTAGAATATGTAACTAGGTTTTTTTGTTGATGATAGGGTATCCTAACCAAGATCGAGATTAAACATGGGATCAGGAACCAACCATATAATTTGAATTATAACTCTTTCACCAAATTTAAGATTCGAACTCGAGATTAAATGCACGTTTTGCGTCTCCATTCCACCGGTTTAACTATCCAAGTTTGGATAATATATAATTAGGTTACTTCTTTGGAGGTAATAAGACTGGTCATTGAAACGACTTTGTTGTTGGCATGTGTCAAGTGACTCTTGTATAACCATGCGGTTAATATTAGAGATATATCCAATAGTTAAAATAAATATATTTGAAATATTCGCTTATAATGGAGAGTTTGTGTAAGGTGAAATTTGGTAGTTTTAGTTTGTTGTGGTGTGTATAAATGGTATTAATAGGGTCAAAGTCCCTTGGAGGAGGACAGCTGGATATGAATTAAAAGTATTTTATTTGTACGGTTGTGAGTAGTTCAATCTAATTAATGGGTGAAACCTTTTTTTTCCATCAAAGGGTCTCTCTCCCCTCGCAATCATTCGTTCAAAGTTTAACATCAACATTAAAATCGTCTTAATCGGACGTTTCGATTCGGTTCTTCGAAACCGGACTGAACTAAATCGTTAAAACGGTATTTTTTCCAACCCGAAACCGTTGTTATTTCCCGAAAGGTACCATTTTTAGAGAACCGAATTTTTCCAGAACCGAACCGAACTTTAAAAATCCCAAAAAACCGAATATTTTTAAAGAAAATCTAACATTTTTTAATAAAATCCGAAACCGAACCAAACTGATACCAAAACCGAACCGAACCGAATACAATAAAAAATCCGATTGGTACCTATTTTTGTAAAACCAAAAGAACCGAACTGATCCATTCCATCCCGAACCCGAACCATTTTCCGAAACGCCCACCCTTAGATTCTTCGTTTTCACTCATTTCGGTTTTGCATTAACTCTTTAGAATTTGTAACAGTTCAAAATCATTCCTAATTACACGTTCCAAATAAGCTTAGGTCTACCGCTTCTCTTTTTCTTCACCTCCATTCATATCCTCTCAACTTTTCTAACCGGCGCACGTTGTACATGTACAAACCATCTTAAACGTCTCTCTCTGAACCTCTCTTCTATACCTATTGCACCTATTTTCTCTTTAATAGTCTCATTTCTATTTGTATCCAACCTTGTCTGTCCACACATCCAACTCAACATCTTTATCTCAGTCACACTCATTTTAGACATATGTTATCCTTTCGCCACCCAACATTCGTTACCATAAATCAATGCGGATCTTATAGCGGTACGGTAAAATTTCTCTTTCAACTATAAAAGAACCTTACGATCGCAAAGAATTCCATGACTTGTCTCCATATTATCTATCCATTTTTATCATGTGAAATTCAAAATTTATATTAAATTCAAAGCTAATCATCCTTTTTATATAGCTCTTTTTTTTAAAGGTTAGTATTTCAATTACTTTAAAACCGTACATAATGCTTTGCCTTCTCATAGAAATCGAGATAAACCATGTACGTACACGTTTATCTCCTATAATTTCTGTTTGGAATTATAAGTTTGTGATGGAAGATAGATCCAAAAAACTCCATTATAAACTAGTTTTGCCTTCTATATTTTTAACGGCTATAATATAAAAAATAGTATAATGATAAAAAAACTAGAGGATATCTAAAATTTTCTATTTCTTTACAAATATATATATATATATATATATATATATATATATATAATTTTCTATTTTTTAATTGAGACAATATTGTTGAACTAAATACATGGAAATATACTCCATAGGTTTTGTTTCTGTTTAGGAAGCAAACAATCAAAATGTAACAATTGAGACTTCTTGGTCCAATTTGGAAGGTCAGCTAACGTTTCCACTTCTAACATTATAATGAATCATGCAATTCTGTAGGATCTTCATGGTTATTATTCTATTGTTCCACGAATGAATTAAAAACAATAAGTGGGGTTGTTATATATGAATCTTATTTTTAGTTTTAATCGGATTTGAGTTTGGTTTGGCTTATATTAGTGATGTCAAAATGTGTTTGGCTCATAAGCTCGTCCATATTTTCCGAAAAAATTCCAGATTGAACGAGCCAATTAGCCGCGAAACGAGCTCATCGCGAACCACTTCACGAGACATATTTTTTAAAATTACTTAAAATTTAATATTGTTATTAGATTTTAATATATTTTATTTTTAATATTTTTAAATTTTTATTATTTATTATTATATTAATTTATAATATTTTTATTTTTTATCTGGTTTGATTCGAACCGATCTAGACCGAGCTAATCCGTTTTACATCACTGTTGTTATCAATCGTAGGTAAAAGCATGTTTTTTTTATTTCACTCGAATTTTTATTTTTTCGTGAGAAAAAATGTTGAGTATTTTGAGACCGGTAAGTGAGAGACCGTTATATATATATAATTTTCTATTTTTTAATTGAGACAATATTGTTGAACTAAATACATGGAAATATACTCCATAGGTTTTGTTTCTGTTTAGGAAGCAAACAATCAAAATGTAACAATTGAGACTTCTTGGTCCAATTTGGAAGGTCAGCTAACGTTTCCACTTCTAACATTATAATGAATCATGCAATTCTGTAGGATCTTCATGGTTATTATTCTATTGTTCCACGAATGAATTAAAAACAATAAGTGGGGTTGTTATATATGAATCTTATTTTTAGTTTTAATCGGATTTGAGTTTGGTTTGGCTTATATTAGTGATGTCAAAATGTGTTTGGCTCATAAGCTCGTCCATATTTTCCGAAAAAATTCCAGATTGAACGAGCCAATTAGCCGCGAAACGAGCTCATCGCGAACCACTTCACGAGACATATTTTTTAAAATTACTTAAAATTTAATATTGTTATTAGATTTTAATATATTTTATTTTTAATATTTTTAAATTTTTATTATTTATTATTATATTAATTTATAATATTTTTATTTTTTATCTGGTTTGATTCGAACCGATCTAGACCGAGCTAATCCGTTTTACATCACTGTTGTTATCAATCGTAGGTAAAAGCATGTTTTTTTTATTTCACTCGAATTTTTATTTTTTCGTGAGAAAAAATGTTGAGTATTTTATTTTAGATTAATAATAGAAAAATATCAAGATGTTAATGAGAAATATATGAATTCTCAATATCCAAATATGGGCTTTTTAGACGCTCTTGAAAACTATAGGGCCGAAAGTGTAAAAAAAAAAAGCCCAAAGATGCGATCGAGGTCTCCCTTTCCATCTTCGATAGAGTTCGTGTTGTATTTGATGAAGTTAATCTAAGATTAGTAGTTAATCCCGATGCAATTACAAATTAATAATCCCCATAATATATATATTTTTCCCTATATAGCAAACATTGTGTGTCACATAAAGGTGCAACATTGGATAAGGATGGTGTTGCAATTGGAATATTATTCTTTTTTTTTTCAAGTATATATATAGTCAACTTATTGCTAAATATTTAGAATTTTGATTTATTCTACTATTTTAATTTATCAGTATTAAAAATATTATATATGTAACTTTATATCAAATTTCAATTCGATTTAAATTCTACCAAATTTTCGTTTTGAGAAGAATATTCATTTACTTTTTTTTGTTTTTTCTTTTATTTTATATTTTGTTTGATTCAAACTTAATATCAATTTATATATTCAAATAATTTTAAAATTGAGTATCATTTTATTTATTTCAATTTGTGATGTATATACTACTTTTGGTGGGAAATGCCAAAATATAATCTATTATTCAAGAGATTTTAAAAAAAAAATCAGAAGCATATTATTATTCCCGATATTACTAGTGGACCGACGATCTAATGGTTGCCAAAATGACTTAAAAAAGAAAGAAATAATATAACAAGTCATATTCCCGTTATCCGATTTTATTTTAAAATAAAAAAAGACAGCAAATTATTAGAAAGAGAATAATAATATGATTTATGTTACAGTTACGGACACACAGATATCATTCCTTTTAAATAAAAATCTAACGGCTAAGATCTGCCCTTTGCCTTTTCCAGCAGATCGTAACCGCACGTTTATCAGTACACCATCATTTATTACAAAGTACACCGCATATTTCCAGTTCTACCCCTCACTCATGTCTTTACCAAATATACCCTTTCCCCTTCTATATCTGTCCATTATTACACACAATACAAGCTGTAACAATTTAATTTCCCCCGCACAGATATCTCCCATCCTAAATTGGACCACAAACATCAATAATAATAATAATAATTAACGGAAAATACAGAATTTTTCTTTTTTTGTTGGGGTTTTTGGAAATTAAAAAATTAAATAAAGAAAAAAAAAGAGAAAATAAGCATGTGATGATGATGGCGAGAGGAGGAGCAGATTAACCGGAATCTTCG